CACTCACAGCAACATTGTTGAGAATGGTGAAAAATGGGAAACACCAAAATTTCCACTTATAGGAAACTGGTTAAGTGCACCATAGTGTGCAAATTATTAGGGTATGCCTGGCAGCTCCAAATTCACCCTTCATTGCCTGCTCTATGAAAATGGATCTGGCCCTTTAGTTTTGCTTTGCCAGCAACAGGGATGTTAAGCCCTGTCAGTAGAGGGAGCTTTTCTCTTCTTAGTTCTGGGGTGGCTTGCTCATCAAGCTCCTGCAGAGCACACTTTTTTCTCCACTGCCTGAACCCAAGTGGTTTTTCTTTCTGCCGCCTGCTAGGCTTCTGCTTTTTCCACCTCTCAACTCGGGCAGCAGCAGGATAGCCAGGAACCCCAGAATGCATGGGCCTGCGCTCCAGCAAAGAAATCTCTGTCCCTCTCGGGTGGTCAGGCTATCTTTTCCAATCATGTGACTAGGTCCCAGGCTGAACACCTCAAACATACCAGCTGCTAGGAAAAGGTAAACTGTTCGGCCACAAATGACAATCAGGCTTCATCAGATGATACTGACAGATCCAACTGCTGCCTTTGTATTTTTACTTCAGATCAGTGCCTCTCAAATTTTACTGTGTACAGGCGTCTCCTAGGAATATTGTGAAGTGTAGATTCTGATTCAGTTGCTTTTGGGTCGGCCTAAAATTCTGCATTTCTAAAAAGCTCTCAGGTGATGTGGAAGTTGCTGGTCCACAGATTATCCTTAGAGAAGTGAGGGGTTAACTTATTGAGACTATGTACTTGCTTCATTCATTTGTTGTGGGAAGCTGAATTTGAATGCACTTATCAACCTTGGAATAGCCAAACTGGAATGATATCTTCATTGATCTTATCATAATTGATTCAACTGGCATAAAAGAGCAGATCCTCTTAGAGTTAGGAAAAATAGTTCTGTTCTTGGATATATCATGCAAATAGAAACAATTATAAAATAGTGGGATTTTTTTTTTACATTTCTCAATTGATTTGATTGTGTTTTCCCTTCAACCATATGAGGAACACAAGACAGATTATAATCATCCTAATTTTAGAGAGGAGAAAAGGTAAGCAAAGAGCAGTAATCCAGTGGCAAACAGAGTAGATGGAACGCAGCTCTTTGGCAATTAACAATAACTCACATCCTTTACAGCGTGGCTTGTCCTCCTCTGCATTGGTCCTCACCCAGGTGATACTCTTTGCATGTAATTAAAAGTAATGAAGCTACATGTTTTCAAACTCTCAATTGATTGTTCTGTGAATTTCAAGTCAATATGGAACACTTTAGTGTATTTTATTATTCCTAATGGAACTCCTCTATTAAGTAACTCAAGGTAATTTACATTTTGTATACAGTAAGCTTCACTGAATTTCCATTGTTGGTAATAAATACTGTTTATTACTGTTGGTAATACTGTTGGCAATAATTTGTTGGTATTACCAACAAATACTGTTGGTAATAACCACTGGAATATATATAATAACCACAGAAGGGCTGATGGTATTACTCAGCATCCACACTTCACTGCTTTTTTGATGTGGTCTATGCCATATGAATGTGTGTGTGTGTGTTTCTGCTTGATATTATAATTACTAAAGATTGTTTTCATATCTCAGATTATTAGAAAGATAAGTCTATTAAACTGACCACATTAAACACAATGTTGTGAATAACTCATGCTAATGTGGTAGAATTGTATTTTAGGAATGCATTTAAGGATGCAATCTCCCAGCATAAAAATGGTCAGTAAAAAATATGAGGTTGGTTAATAAGTTGCCATCAGTAAATTCTACAGTAATCAACAGCCCCATAAAAAAACTCATGACCAGCTAATACCAGCTAGAGATTACTCATCTCTGATCCAGTGGTTCTAAAGGTGTTCTTAATCCTGAAACAACCAGAACTGGTTCACTTACAACTGCTTTGGGTTATTTGTGATCTGGAAATTAGGATGCAGTGCTCACAGGTTCTGCTTTAAGGACTTGCAGTAGTTGGCTATCCTGGAAGAAAAATAGGAAGAAAATAGGGGAGTGGGCTGACTCCAGATGGCCAGTAGGAAGATGATAGGCCATTGTCTTAAGTGGTAATGGTTCCCTGGTGTTGTGGTTTGGTGATGGGCAGCTTAAAGATACCAGAGACAACTCTGTTCAGAGCAGTGCTTCTCAAAGTGTGTGGTCTCTGGTGCACGTGGTGATTCTGGTGCACAAAGAATCTTTGGAAATTTCTTCACCTCATGATGATAAGGACCCTTTATGACTCTACCTACTCTTAAGCCTGATTCAAAATGATGTTGATAATACTGACAACACTGATAATAGCAACGACTTTTACTGAGGATTTACTCTGTGCCAAGCACTGAACACTTCATATGCATTATCTCATCCAGTCCTCACCATAACTCTCTGAGGTAGGGACCAATTATTCTCTCCATTTTACAGATAAGAAAACTGAGGCACAGAAATAAGGAGCCTGTCCAAGGTCACAAAGTTACTGAATGGCAGAGTCGAGACTCTAACCTTGGTCTGACTCCAAAGTGCATGCTTTTGTTTCTGCTTTTTTAAATTGTGGTAAAACACACATAAAATTTACTATTTTACAATTTTAAATTGTACAATTGAGTGGCATTTAGTAAATTCACAATTTTGTGCAACCATCACTACTATCTAGTTCCAGAACATTTTTATTGCCCTCAAAGAAAACCCCCATGCCTATTAAGTTCTCCCTGCCCCCACCCCTGGCACCCACCAACCTGCTTTCTGTCTCTTTGGATCCTGGACATTTTATATACATGGAATCATGCAATATATGTGGCCTTTTGTGTCTGGCTACTTTCACTTAGAACAATATTTTCAAGGTCTACCCATGTTATAACACGTACTTCATTCCTTTTTATGGCCAAATAATAATCCATGATACCACACTTTGTTTATCCATTCATCAGGTGATGTATATTTGAGTTGTTTCTGTCTTCTGGCTACTGTGACTAGTGGGGCTATGAACACTTATGTACAAATTTTTGTTTGAACACCTGCTTTTAATTCTTTTGGATAGAAAACACAGGCATTAATCTTTGCTGACTCAAATATCTTATATTCTTCAGTTATTCAACAGATATTTACTGAAAACCTACTGTACATCAGCCTAGCATGCCAAGCACTGGGAATACAAATTGCAATAAATAAAACAGGCATCATTCCTGTCCTCCTCAGGAATGACAGAAAATTGAATAAGTGAATAAAACACAGACCTTGTGGCATTGAAGATTAAGAATTCCTTTTCCATTTGCTATTAAAGGAAAATAAAAGCTGGTCACGAAGCACCTGAGCAAGATGCTCTAACAGAATGCTTTTGGATGCAAGAAACATACACAGAGTAGCTTAAACAATAATGACATTTATCATCTCACATAATAAGAAGTCTGAGGTAGGGAGGTTCCTAAGTGGGTTAATTTGGCATCAAAGTTCTGGGTTTTCTCCATCCTTCTGCTCTGTCATCCTCATGGCCACAATAAGAAGCAACAACTCCAGGCATCATGTCCTCCTCACACGACAAGGACCAAAGAACAGAAGTGAGGAGACCCTCCTCAATCCTTTTTTAGGTGCAAGAAAAATATTCCCAGAATATTTTTGCCCAGATCAGTTCTGCCTGATTTGCTCCACAGCCTGTTCCTACACCAACCGCTGGCAAGGGAATGGAATTAGGTACAATGAATGATTTAAGATTAATTAAGTTTGAGGCTTCCCCTGGGACATACAGTCACCTCACGCCTGAACAAAACACAGGTTCTGAAAAAATGTAAGAGAGAGAATCGCTGTAGGATAGTCTGCCAAGACTGCACCATTTCCTGGAGGAAATCCAGTCCAGCATTCTCCTCTGACCTCCAGGCCTCAATTGAATATCTCAAAACAAACAAGCAAAAAATACAAAACAAAACGAAAACCCAACTCAAACCTCAACATGTTCAAGACTGAACTCATGATTCTCTTAAACGTGGTCTCTTCCAGTGCTCTATTTCTTTGTGACTAAGCACTGCCATTCAGATGCCTGAGCCAGAAAAACAGGCGTCATTATAATTCCTCATCACCCACACCTAGTTAGTGCATCACCAACTCCTTGAATCTATTCACTTTCTTCACCTCCACTGCCACCATCCTACCTAATCCAAGTCACTATCATCAACTCTTCCGGGGAGTTTTGCAACAGTCTTCAGCTTAGTCTCTCTGCATCTATTTTGACCTTCCTGCAGACTGTTCCTTCACAATGCAAATAGAGTGCCCTTTTCAAACACAACTTTGCTCATGCCTATAACGTTTCCCACTGCTCCTAGGATAAAGACCAAACAGGGCCCTCCCCAACTCTTTGCATTCCAGTTACACTGCTTTTCCTCTAGCTTCAGTGGGCTGTGTTTCCTCCCACCGCAAGCTTCTGCGCTTTCCTTCCTCCTGCCCCCTTTCACCCTTCTTTCTCAGCTCGACTGTCACTTCCTAATTAGGTCAGGTCCCTCTGCTATAGGCTCCTAGAGAACTCTGCTCTCTCTTCAGGACACTTTTCCTCAGCCTGCAGAATAAGGTCCACAGAAGCACGGAGGTAGCACCTCCTACAACATAACGCCTGGCACACAGTAAGTGCTCGTGCTCGTCATATAGCGGTGGAATGGCTAATTTTATTAAATATATATAAGCTTCAAAGAAGAGGGGTCGATGACGAACACGGACCCAGCCGGAGGACCCACATAATGGCCGTGACCCACCCGCAATCCGAGCCGCCGGGACCACAGGACTAGTTCCTCCAGCCAGTAGCTCCGCCCCGCGCGCCCGGCCCCTGCCCGCTGAGTCGGAGGGGGAGCGGCACAGAGGTCGCGTGACGTAGCAGCAGCCGGCCGGTGATTGGCCCTGCCGGCGTGCCGGCTGGGAAAGGGGGCGTACCCACGCGCGCTGATTGGCTGTCTGGCGTGGCTGGGCGGGCGGCGGCGGCGGCGGCGGCGCGGGGGCGGATGCCGGGAGGGACCGGACCGGGTCTGGCAGGGAGGGCGGCGGCGGAGGCGGGCAGGATGGGTCCTCGCCGCCGGCTTTGCTGAGACTCGCTCGCGTGGGCTGCCCGCGGCGGGCCCGCAGTGGCCGCGGCGGCATGAAGGGCGCTCTGGGGAGTCCCGTGGCCGCGGCCGCCGCCGGCTCCGCGATGCAGGAGAGTTTCGGCTGCGTCGTGGCCAACCGATTCCACCAGCTGCTGGACGACGAGTCGGACCCGTTCGACATCCTGCGCGAGGCCGAGCGCCGGCGCCAGCAGCAGCTGCAGCGCAAGAGGCGCGACGAGGCGGCGGCGGCGGCGGCGGCCGGCAGCCGCGGCGGCAGGAGCCCGGCCGGGGCCTCGGGCTACAGACCCGGCGCGGGCGGCTGCCGGAGGGAGTCCCAGAAGGAGCGCAAGAGCCTCCCGGCTCCCGGCGCGCAGCAGCCGGACAGCCCCGGGGGCGGCCCGCAGCCGCCCGGTACGCACGTCCCGCCGGCACCCGGGCGCCCGGGGTGGGAGAGGGAGGAGGATGAGGTCACGGGGGTCACCCCTCCCCAGCCGCCCCTCGACTCCCCCTGCGAGGCCGGGGTCACTGGAGCGGGTTCCAGAAAGGGGAGGGGGCGCTGGGAGGAGTTGGTGAGTTGGGGGTCCTGTGGCCGCCAAGATGGAAAAGAGGGGCGTGGGCTCACACCCTTCTGGCCCTTCCCATTCCTCCCTGGGGGTCGGGAGCGGTGCAGGCTTGGAGCCGCAGGGGGACTCAGAACCCTGGAACTGAGCCTTTACGACAAGTTGGGCAAAGTTGAGGGACGTTGCCGGGGTGGCGTGCGGGTCAGAGACCGAGGTCGCGCCCCCGGGGCTCCCAGAGCTGGGGCCGGCAGGACCGTCTGCATCCCGCAGCCCAGCCTCTGCAGGGTTCAGGTCGGGAGGCGGGCGCGGGAGCGTGATGGGGAGGAGGGAGGGCGCCGCCGGCTCCGGGGTGGCGGCAGAGCCCGGGCAGCGGAGAAGACCGCGCGGGGTCCCGGCGGGGCCTCTGTGACGGAGGGAAGGCCTGGGCGCGCGCGGGGCGGCCGTGACGTCAGCGCCCGGGCGGGGAGCCTTCGCCCCTTCCCCGCCCCGAGCCTCCAGTAGGCAGCCGCGTCTATTCAGTACACCGGGTAGTGATGGTGGCACGTGTCGCTTGGAATTTACTCGAGGCTGCTTTTAAGAAAAGCGGTTTTTAACCTTTGCAACGAGAATATTCAAAGTTCCCCACTCCCCGTTTAGCGAGGACGGCCGTGCACGGCTCGGTGCGCTGCCCTCTGCGTACAGGGAACGTGCTTCAGAGTTCATTTGTCTCACCTGAAGTGCGTCAGCAACACCTTACCAGTGTTTCCTCTGTTTTCCTGACATAAGGCAGTGGTCTTAAGGTTTGCAGAGTGTTAGATGATTAGCATGTGTAGTTTGACCACTCCAACCAACGTTTGGCAGTGTATTCAACTCGGCTTTATTGACTTATTCCTTGCTTGATAGAAATTGCGCATCCCAACCCCGAGAAAACACCTGGTTTACGTATTGGGCCTTTGACGTGTGCAACTAGGTAAGGTTTACCTTTATTTGTGAAAAGTTAAATCCAGAGTCATTACTTGAGAGTCAAAAACTCAAGTCACTACAAAAAGATGTTGAAAATTATAAAAAATGCTGTTGGCTATCTCAAGACCCCTGGTAAGCAGTACATTTATGAGCCTATCTAAACAGTGAGACTTGAGATACTGTAAATTTTATATTATTTTCCTTGTTTTTCTCCTAAATTTGTTTAGATAAATATGCTAGTAAAAGAATTGGGGAAGACTAAGCTTTTCTTCTCCCTTTATTTTTTAACAAATGAAAATATGTACTCTATTCTTTAGAAGAGTGTGAAACTACAGTTAGTGCTGGTTAATATATTGATTTTTAGCCTTTTAAAAAATTTAAAATGCTATGTATTTTTGCTATAAAAATTTTAAACAATTCTGAATTGTATGAGGTAAAATGAAGATCCTTTATTGTTCCTGTTAACACCTTGTGTTTATATACATAAATGTCCAGAGCTATTTTTTATTTCCTAAACTTAAATGGTATAAACTGGGCTACAACTTGCTTTTTGCACTTGACATTGTAGTCTAATATGCATGTAACTTTTTTTGTTTTTTGTTTTTTGTTTTTGGTCAGTTCCCAGTCCAGGTGATCTGGCTTTTGAAATCTGTATTAAAGATAGTTGATTTTCTAGTTAGAATGGAAATTTTGTCATTCTAGTTCTTTAAGTATGTGTTATTTCAGGAGCAGACAGCTCATTATTTTACATTTGTGTAGTTATGTACTAAATTTATCTGTAATGGGTGTTAGCTGCTCTCTAAAGGTTTTGTAGTCCTAATTGATATGAAGGACTGCCGTTTTCTAACACTCAAAAATTTTAATTTAGTTAGAATTCTGTGCACGAATGCTTAGTGTGGACAAAGGTGTATTTGGCATATAATAGAAACATGTATTAATCTCAGAAGAAAATGGAAACCATAAGATTTTCCCATGGAAACATAGGTTTTTAATGTCTGACTAACAATATAAATAAACCCTTGGGTGGTGAGCCTTGCACAATAAATTCATTCTTGAAGTCATAAGGGGCTGTTTCAACTTTGCTTTTCTAGCCTTTTAGAGCTTTGGTCTTTTAGCCAAACTTCAACTTTATTTTGTAGGAAATGTTACTGTAAAGTTTACTGTATTCTGTTTCTTCATATGGGCTTGGTTTAGGTCAGTGACCACACTGCATGGTGCCAGCCTTTTATTGGAAAGGTCTAGTGAAATGCAGTGTTTGCATTATCCACTTGGAGCTGCTGAACCAGCACAGAAAAACAAGCTAGGTTCAGTTGCAGTCTTGATCTCTTAGTACTAAATTATGGGGAAAAAATTGGACACTAATTATCTTTGGGGGGGGGTTGAGGGCAGAATGAAATGTTTGCAGGGCATTTATAACTCTAATAAGTAGGCAATCTTATTTAACAGTTTTCAATTTATACACAGAAAGTTTGGAAGAGGCCTTAATATAAAGTACAATAAATGTCACATTTTAAGTTTTGAATGGTGAATTCCAAATTTAATTGATATAATTAAAAAATAATTTGGAGGAAGCAGAAAGGTGGGATAAGCACCTAAGTAATTCTGTAGTTGTGTGTAGATAGTAAAAGATTTATTTAAAGGATTTTTTTAGAACTACAGGTTGCAAACAGGAAATCTGAAGCTGTATTAACAAATTCTTTTTACACTGGGGTAAAAGTATGGAAAAGTGTTGTTACTGTTGATAAATTTCCTGATGACTGTTATGTCATGATCTATTATAATTTTCAACTTGTTAGATAATTAACTTTCATAATAATTTTTTCTACCTTAATATTTTGAATACCTCTTCCAATTTTTGTCTCTTAGTATTGTATGTGCCCACACATCTGACACTGCATATTCCTAGACAGCTGGGCACAAGAGTCAGTCACTGTGTTGATGCTCTATGATAACATCTTTCCCATTTCCTAAACATGTCACAAACTCAGATTGTGACCTCACTACAGGATATAAATTGGATTTAAATATCTCTGGGTTATGGGACATTAAAATTATGGTCGATTGAACTTAGTTCTGTTGTGCAACTTTTCAAACTTGAAAAAAATGCTTTATGTTAGCAAGGAATGAATTGCACAATTTATGTTAGTGTTATCACAAACATGGATTTTGCTTTAAAGTACCACCTAACATTTACCTGTACCCAGATTATAAAGTTCAGGTAGGAAATATTAAGTGGGAAAATAGGAAAATGCATATGTACATATATTCCTTAAGAGTTATGTGTATCTGTCTAAGTGGGAGAGGAATCTAGCAGTTAAAAAATATATCCACTGATTTGAATGAATTTAAGATTTTATAGCTATACAACTAATGTGAAGGGTAATTTATGCTAAGAAAAATTGAAGCTACTATAGTAAAAATTGCACATGTTTGAGAGAAGATCTTTTAAATGTATACCAAAATATAGACATTTTTGGAAGATTATTTAAGAAGTGACAAAGTTCTCCACACCATATTTATCAAATATTAGATGGTTTCAAACAGACATTACTTAAAATTTTTCAAACATCAAATAAAACTAGAAGGGAGTAAAGTAAAGTGAGAGAAGAAAGAGGAAAAAACTGTAGAGGTCCCAGACCTTGTCCCTGCCCCACCTGCATGCTGGACTCTCAATGGACAAAAGAGATTCCCTCTTAAAGTGGCCGTTGGGTGAGTTAGCAAATAGCATTTTGGGCTCATAAGTAAGAAGTATTATTGCAAATGTATAAATCCCATAAAAGAGCAGGAAAATCTGTTTTCAAAATAAAACAACATACACTACAAACTGTTTAAAAAAAACACCTTGGTAGCTAAAGATAAAGCCATAAGTGCTCTCGTTTTATGTGCAGTTGAGTTTCTGAAAGTATAATCTGAAATGCAGGCTATGTATTCTTTAATTTTCTACATATCCCATATTTTAGTACACCTACTTTTATCAAATGTAGTTTAGTAAAATATATCCATGGCTGTCACAGTTACTGGGAGATGCCTGTGATTATAGGTGAGCTTGTATATTAATAGTTTGTCTTATCATACTTTCTAGGACATAGGGGAAGCATGATTTAATAATAAAGTTTTATTTTAAAACTCTGGGTAGTAGTAGTATCCGCAACTTTTTTCTTCTCTGAAGTTTTTCAAACTTCCCAAATTTTCCATTGACACTGATTTCTAGAAGAGTGAAATTTAAAAGTACCTGTAAAGTTTAACACCATGTTGTTCTACACGTTGTGTTCTAGCTCTCTGCTTTGATTTTCCACTGGCAGGCCAGAAGCGAACTCCCAGAAGAGGGGAGCAGCAAGGATGGAATGATAACCGGGGCACAGAGGTGACACTTGATAGAGCCGAGCGGAGATCCTACAGGGAATATCGACCCTATGAGACTGAGAGGCAGGCGGACTTTACAGCTGAGAAGTTCACAGATGAAAAGTATGTGCTGCAGTCAGTCCACAGCTGCGAGGGTGGGGAGAACCAGAAGGGTTTTCAGAAAACTAATAGCCTTTTTGATCTTTTCATGGTGCCATTCCTAGGGATGTTTTGCCAATTTAACTAGCAGATTGTATTCCCTCAGGTGACACATGAAGGATCTTCCATGTATCTCGTAGGTGACCTTACGTCTTGGAGCAAAAAATGATTATACAATTAAAAATTAATTGTTTATTGATAACTATGCAAAGCGCTCTTGTGAAAAAGACTACACAAGAGAGTGTTGAACTGGTTAAATTTTCTTTTGAGGTTCTAGACTGGGGATATAATTTGGGGCTAAGGATGTAATTATAGTTTTGATTTAGCATGACTAATTTAAACTACTAACTGGATTGAAACAAATTCCTAGCTCCATGGTCGGGTCAATAGGCTATCCCGATAAAATTTGAAGAGAAACCGGATATGATGTGTAATACCGATTTCTGGCTTGCATACCTTCTCTAGAAAGGACTCTGATATGGAAGATGGTCTTGGGCAGGTACCGTCTTACATCACTCCTCAGTGATGTAGCAACACAAAGATAGTATATGTGTCTTATGCTTGCCCCTAGCAAGATGATGCTTTGTTGCCTAAAGCTTTTGTTTGATCTATATACCTATATAGCACAGACTTGAGGTTAAACAGAAACAGCTAGTGAATCACATTTCAAGGAAGGTAAAGAAAGGCTAAGAGAAAACTAAAATAGTGTACAATTTAAACGTCAGGGGGAGCCATTATTCCCAAGAAGTCTTTCAGCTTCTTGACTACTAATTCCATTTAAGTTTTAACCAAGAACATGATTTTGTAGAGTTTATTAAAAACAAACAAACAAAAAAAAGTCCAGAGCTCAGTCTGAGAGGGCTAAGCATATCTGCAGATCTATTCACCTAAAGTTTCACATTGAAAACATCGAGATGGTATATCTGTAACCATGTTGGTACAAGAGAGTTATGGAATGGAAAGGCTTAATTCTTTTTTTGGGGGGATGGGAGGATTGATTACTTCAAATTTCCTGTGTAATGGCCACAGTCTACTTGCTTATTAAAAGCCTTTTGGATCAGAACTGCTTATTTTTGGAAGCATTTGGGTATTTTTTTCTCACTTCAGGGATTTATTCTGTGGAAAATAAGAAATTGTAATTCATATGCACAAACCCAGCCAGGTGTGATGGCTCATGCCTGTAATCCTAGCACTCTGGGAGGCTGGGGCAGGAGGATTGATTGAGGTTAGGAGTTCAAGACCAGCATGAGCAAGAGTGAGACCTGTCTCTACTGAAAATAGAAAAAATTAGCCAGACATGGTGGCATGCTACTCAGGATGCTGAGGCAGGAGGATCCAGTGAGCCCAGGAGTTTGAGGTTGCTGTAAGCTATGATGATACCAGTGCACTCTAGCCTGGGCAACAGAGTGAGACTCTGTCTCAAAAAAAAAAATCACAAATCTGTGTAAATCTGTGTTGCCACCTTTTTTTAGTAGCAAGACTTATGTAGTCTTTAAAAAGATAAAATAGATCTTCATATGTGACATTAAAAGAGGTCTGTTAAGTGAAATAGTACACATATGTAAGAGTAGGGGTCAGGTGGGATATGGGATTGTTGGAAGGATTTTTTTTTCATTAAAAATAATTTCAGAATTACAGAAAAGCTGCAAGAATTATACAAAGAATTCCCATATGCCCTTTATCCAGATTCCCCAAATATTAAATTCTTACCATATTTGCTTTATCATTCCACCCACAATGTTGTTTCCTTGTACTTTGAGAGTAAGGTGTATTTGTCCCCAAATACTTGAAATGCATTTTCTAAAAACATGACACAATTATCAAACTCATTAACATTGATACAGTACTGTTATATAATTCTCCAAATTATGCAATCTGCAGATTTCACCAATGGTCCTAATGATATCCTTTTAGCAAAAACAGAAATGTTTTCTTGTTAAAGATTCAATCCAGGAATATGTATTGTATTTAGTCTTTAATTTGGAATAGCCCCTTAGTCTTACTTTATCTTTATGCATTTGTCTTTTTTTTCTTTTAAAGACAGGGTCTTGCTTTTTTGCCCAGGTTGTGATCATAGCTCACGACCTCGTGGGCTCAGGGATTCTCCCACCTCAAGTAGCTGAGAGTTTAGACATGTACCCCCATGCCTAGCTAATTTTTTTATTTTTATTTTTTGTAGAGGCTGAGTCTCACTATGTTGCTCAGGGTGGTCTCAAACTGGTGGCCTAAAGTAATCTAGCTGCCTTGCCTCCCAAAGTGCTGGGATTACAGGTGTGAGCCACCTTGCCCAGTCAAATTTGACGTGTTTTACCAGTATGGACCAGTTATTTTATAGCACATCCCAGACTTTGAGTTTTTCTGATGTTGCCTTATAGAATGAGGTCATGCGCTTTTGGCAGGAACATCACAGAATTCATGTGTTATAGTACTTCACATTAGAAATATGTAGGGAATTTTTTCTTTCAAGGACATTTGAATTTTTTTGTCATGTGATAGAAGAAAAGATATTTTCCTTAGTTACTTAAGAAATGCTCTTTTGATAACTCCTGATAATAAAGGCTCATAAAATCTTTACAAAAAATAATTTATAGGTACTTTAGAGAATTTAGAAAATGCATAAAATTATAAAAAATTTAAAACCACCCATCTTACCATCTGAGATTACTTTTAACACTTTGGCTTATTTTTGTTCTTTCTTTTTTATTCATGGTAGATGTTACGATGATAATGCATATACACTGAGTACTTCATATTTTTTCTTTTCCACTTGACATGCATGAGCCTTTTCCATGTCATTAATAATGTTTAGTAAGCACTTTTAATGACTATTATGATCTCTTGTTTGGATGTATCAATCATTCCCTTAGTGTTGGACCTTTGCTCAGCTTCTATTTTTTTTTTTTTTTTTTTTTTGCTTTATAAGTAAAACCCAATGAGCAGCTTTCTATATATGTAGGGAGTTTCTGAGATGGAGTCCTAGAAGTCGAGTCCCAGCTAGGTCATAAAGCAGTGATTCTCAGGTGGATGTTGTGTATACAGACCGGGACCCATCTTGTGCTTTAGTGTGAAGTTGCGTGGTTGCATGTAGTGTGAAAACAATATTGGGAGATTGGGGAGCTGTTGATACATAGTGACAAATCATTATTCTAGTAACCTATCAATTTGCTTTGTCACTGATAATCTATGAGAGCATTTCTCATAGTACTTTCTCCAAACTTAAATACAACACAGTTTGATCTTTGCTCATTTGATAGTGAAATAGTATGTTACCGTGAATTTCTTTGATACCTGTACATGTTTATAAGAATTATAGAATCTGGATAATCTTGAAAGATTACCTAAATTCAACCCTCTCGGTTTATAAATGAGGTAACAGACCTACAGTTTCAGTGATGTGTATAGTACTCTGGTCATAGCCAATTGACATGGGATTTTATTCCGGTTAGGCAGAGCACATGTTTTCCCATAGAAACAATCTCATAAATGGTCTAGGATTAACTCTCCATGTGTCTTTACTCCAGAGATCAGCTACATCATGTGGTACATATTCTGGGAGTTCAACTACTGTTTTTAATACAGTAGTATTAATAAGGAATTTTTCCTTAGGCTCCAAATGAACTTAATTGAACTCTTAGAACATAGACTGTTAGAAAATTAGTCTGCCTCTGTCTGGATGCATTTTGGCTCTTCCTCTCTGTAGTTTACTGCTGGCCATTTTTACTTCCTATTCTGAAAGAATTACTCAGATGTTTACTCCTCCATCCCCCATAAAGAAGCTTTTTAAAAAAATTATGGTAAAATATATGTACCATAAAATTTACCATTTTAATCATTTTTAAGTGTGGCTTTATGATGCACATTCACACTGTTGTGTAACCATCACCACTGTCCCATCTCCAGAACTTTCTGTCTTCCCAAACTGAAACTCTGTACCCATTAAATAGCACCACCTCCATGAGCTTCAGTCCTTTTACCTATAAAGCAGCTACTCATGTGCACTTACTAGGACCGTTGGGAGAGAGTGAATTACAGGTGTGTGAAGCAGAGTGCTTGGCCCAAATGTTATTTTCTTTCTGTTTAGTTGTGAGTTTGTCACAAATAAGACTTCCTAAGTGGATTATGAGATTCCTCCACCCTTACCGACTTTTAAAAAATGATACAATAGTAAAGGGATTATAAGGAAGTAGTTGAGAATGCTTTATATTGAGGATTGGGGAAAATGTGTGGAGTAAAGAAGAAATGGTTTAAGGCAGCGGTCCCCAACCTTTTTGGCACCAGGGACTGGTTTCATGGAAGACAGTTTTTCCACGGGATCGGGGTGGGGTGGGGGGTAGGTGGAGCTCAGGCAGTGATGTGAGGCTGGTTCCTAACAGGTCACAGATTGGTACTGGGTGGGGTTGGGGAACTGCAGGTTTAAAGGGATTAAAATGTACCAGACTGCCCTGGGCTGTCTTATCTTTAGGGTTAGTTTCAATATACTATTGTGTTTTAAAAGAGTTTGATGTTTTGTTGGTGTCTGATCCAGACTTCTGTAAATTTAGACCTGGTTTTGACTGTCACATTTTCCATATGTTTTTGCTCTTCGTTTCCTCTTAATTTTTAGGTAGACTTTCTTTCTTTTATTGCCCTGTTCAACTCCTGGTTCAGAGTTTATTGTTACTTTTGTTATTGTTTTAGAACCCTGCTTTCGATATTTACCATAGTTTAGAATCAGGTTTCTATTTAAAAATTTGGTTTTGGTCAGGGGAGGTGGGAGACAGAAAAGCCAACTTGGAGAACTTATTTAGGATGTTGTTTCTTTAAGAGACTGGCATAAAGCTAATGATGGGCCAGGTGTGGTGGCTTGTGCCTTGTAATCCTAGCACTTTGGGAGGCTGAGGTGGGAAGATCGCTTGAGCTTAGGAGTTGGAGAGCAGCCTGAGCAAAAGCGAGAGATCCTATCTCTACTAAAAATAGAAAAAATTAGCCACCAGGTGTGGTGGCAAGTGCCTGTAGTCCCAGCTACTCGGGAGGCTGAGGCAGGAAAATGGTTTGAACCCAGGAGTTTGAGGCTGCAGGGAGCTGTGATGATGCCACTGCACTGTAGCCAGGGCAACAGAGTGAGACTCTGTCTCCAAAAAAAAAAAAAAAGTTAAAAATCAGTACTTCTGTATTTCTTCATCTTTTTGAGTAAGGAAAATTGTTAGTTTTGTATCTTTGTACCCACTATTATATGGCATTTTTTTAATGTAACATGTTTAGCCATAAAAGTAGATTGGAACAAACCAGATACTGTAGTCTCAGCTACTTGGGAGGCAGAAGGCTGAGGGAGGATCGCTTCAGCCTGAGAGTGTGAGGTCAGCCTGGGTAACATGGTAAGACTCTGTCCCTTAAAAAACAAAACAAAACAGTAGACTGAAAGATACTTCTAGTGTGAGTATTTGAGCCACTAAGGCCACTAGATTTTTTGATGCCAGGACCTCTATTAAGTAATTTGTTGTTGCTTTAAATGTTTTTAAAAGCCTTGACAAATTAAAAAATATTATCTTATTGGGGGTTATTAAACTAGGGTTATAATGGTGAAAAAGGTATGGTCATTTCCCGCAGGAGCTTGGAGTCTAGTGGAGGGAAGGCAAGTCCTCGGAAAGAGTGATGGCGGCCAGAGACATGGCAGAAGGATGGGCGTGAGGAGAAGGGGATGGGTGATCACACCCTGGAGCTGGGGCCTAATGTGGCAGAGGGGAAGAAGAGGGAGGAGTGGCTGGTTCTCTCTTGGGTTGTGAGTTAGGGACCACAGGAGGAGCAAGGGCCCAATGCTAGGCATGCGTATGCCAGGCCCCCAGGTGTACAGGTGGAGGTTTCCAGGAATCAGCTGGTTTCATGTCCTACAGTTAGAGACCCAAATGAGAGACCCAGCGTCAAGTAGCATTAGAGACAAGGAGGCAGTGCATAGGGAAAGGGAGGTGAGGATGCTGACGCAGGTAAGGACAGACGGCTGTCCAGAAGGGCCAGGATTGCTTCTCCGCCTTTTGGCTAAGATCAAGTGCAGAAGGGCGAGGGCGGCAGCTCTGTGTAGAGTGCCAAGACGTGTGGTTGGGTGCATAAGGCAAGCTGCAGAGCTTTCTCCTTGGTGTGGATCGGTAAGTGGCTGCCTCTGAGAAGTGGAATTGAGTGTCCAAGGAGCACTGTGAATTTTGTACCATGTTTGGGTATTACCTATTCCAAAAATAATTTTTTTTAAGGACAGGCAGGGAGAGAGAAGCCAGAAAGGTCAGAGGGAATAACAAAGAAGTCTTCAGCTGTCCTTGGGCGTTTATGTGGAGTAATGGGGTAGAAGTCAGGTTGCAGCAGGTTAAGATTTTCAGTCCCAAACATCACTAGCTGGTTGTATGTTTAGGAGGGAGAGATTTGGGAGGGGGCATACTTCGAAGTCTAAGTTAAAACATTAAAAATTTAACTTAAAGATTTAGTATTAGAATGGGAATGAACCTTAGAGTTTCTTTATCTAACATCCTCATTTTTTAAATAAAGAAACTAGATCCAGGCCAGGCACAGTGGCTCACGCCTGTAATCCTAGCACTCTGGGAGGCCAAGGCAGGCGGATCGCTCAAGGTCAGGAGTTCAAAACGAGCCTGAGCAAGAATGAGACCCCCATCTCTATTAAAAATAGAAATTAATTGGCCAATTAAAAAATATATATAGAAAAAATTAGCAGGGTGTGGTGGTGCATGCCTATAGTCCCAGGTACTCAGGAGGCTGAGGCAGGAAGATTGCTCGAGCCTAGGAGTTTGAGGTTGCTGTAAGCTAGACTGATGCCGTAACACTCTAGTCCAGGCAAGAGAGTGAGACACTGTCTCCAAAAAAAAAAAAAAAGAAACTAGATCCAGAGAGAGAAAGGCTGCCCCATGCAGATTAGTACAAGGCCTATCTAGGCCCTGCTCTCCTGGGCTGGCTCCTCCACTTAGCAGCTGTGTGACCCTGGCAAATTGCCTTTCTGCCCTGTGCTTCAGTTTCCTCATCTTTGGGCAATAGTTGTATATCATAGATCTGTGTGTGAGAGTTAAATTACTGTATGTAAAGTGCTCAGAACAATGCCAGCTATTGTATGTGCTCAGTAAAGGTTAGCCATTAGTTTATTGTTTAAGCTGCCATTCTTTCCAATAGACTATAGCCATAATTGCCTTTTAAAATTTTTTTCTTAAAAAATTCAAACTTTAATCTAATCCATCACTTTTTCTTATGCCCATCTCTTCCTAGGCCGGTTGATAGGTTTGATCGAGACAGGCCACTGAGAGGACGTGGAGGCCCGAGAGGGGGGATGCGAAGCAGAGGCAGAGGTGGTCCCGGGAACAGAGCTTTTGACACTTTTGACCACAGAGGGAAACGAGACTTTGAAAGATATGGTGGGAGTGATAAAATGTAAGTTTCTTTGTAAGTGCTGTTTTCACTTTAAGATTTTTATAATACATGGTATAAGTCTGTTTATTATGTGTCACTATTTAGTGAACTGTATATTATTGTGCTGTTACTCTTGGTTGAAGCTGATCCTGAGACAGCTTTTATGATCAACTTTTTCGGTTTGGAGATTGGCTGGAGAGCAGGTTCCAGTTAAAGGGAATATTCTGTCTTTCTCCAGAGCAATCAGAGCTGAAGACAGCATGGGTGGAGGTGGAGTTCGCACCTGGGGATCAGGTAAAGATACCAGGTATGGTGCAAGCGGTGCCCTCTGAGAACCTTCACTTAGGTGGAAATCTCTGGATCTTTGTTTGCTTTTCTTGAAAATGATGTCTTCTGTGCTGTGCTTTATACTGTGTATACTCTCTTCCTGTGCCTCCAAGTAGAGATTGATTTTAGGTTTTGTTTAATGAGATAAATTTTTGAAACAATTTGGCTATATTACAATTAGATTTAAAACTCTTTTAAAATTCTGTTATTTTATCTTATTTTAGCCAAACCAGTTTGTGACAGTTTATTTGCTGATGTCTCAAGTATATGGCACAGTACACTTGCACATGCCTTGGAACGCTTTTTAAATTCCTGGATATTCTATATTTTTCTGTGACCTCCCAGAGTTCTTGTAGACCCTTGATGTTGCATCTTGGTTTTATGAAGAAATCATTTTGCAGATTGAGGCTTATTGACAAGTTTCACCTGAGGTGCAAATTGGACATTTCCCTGAGGTCTCACGGTGCCCCAGATCTGTGCCATTTATTTTGCTAGTTAGAGTAGGTGCTGGGTCTGCTCTGTTTCTGTCATTTCACAGCTGCAAGGATGATGCCTTCTGGCGTCTGCACAGAGGGAGGCAGGACTGCAGGGCAGTGCGGTGTGAGCAGTGTTGCAAAGCAGCCTTCCACTGGTCTGAAGGCTGCAGGGCACCTAGGCTGCCACTTTTCTTCTTTTGAAGAATACAAGCTTTGTACATGAACCTATTTTTCTTAAGTTGTGGTACTTAAAGACAAAAGTAAAAAATAATATCAAATGAAACAACATTGTTGGTCTATGTTGTCCTTGAGAGAAACTTAAGCATTTTTTAATCAGGGGTTCCATAGGGTCTCAATGACAAATCTCTTAATTTAATTTTATTTTACTTTGATAATATATTTTAAAAAAGGTAGTACGGCCCCTTTCTAAATTCTCTGATTTACCACCTTATTAACACTTGTTTTCAGTTTGCATTTGAACTTAGAATCATTTTGGCTCCAAATGGTTACTTATCCTGAGTGGCCAGCATTGGCCGCGTAGTGTGAAGAGTGACCACACGTGCCCTGGTAGGCTGGCGTGTCCTGATGTTAAAATGACACGAACCCCATGGCACTCATTTTGGATTGGTTTGTGAGTTATAAAGTCAAAGCTCTTAGGTTGTAATAATTTGTAACTGAAAGATTTTCTTAGAATAAGACGAATTTTTTAATAAATTGAGATTTTTGACTTGACATCTTGAAAACAATGTAGTGCAAATGGAGTTACGTGCTATACTGTTGATTAGTGAGACAGAAAAATAGAGGTGAATCTGACACAGTAAGTGATGTGTTCGTGGCTGGCAAAGGCCAAGTGCTTCACAGTGTGTAGTAGGTGTGAGAGTTTTCCTGTAGTTTAGTATTCTTGTTTGAAGACTTCGGCAGCAATAACTGGATTTAAGGACAAGATGCTTTCAAACTGGTATGGCCGAGCCATTCCATAGTATTGGTTTTCTTGAATAGTTTAATAGGTCTATGCTAACAATAGATTTTTTTTCTATCTGCAGTAATTAGAAAGTATGTCAGATATTATTTTCTTGTTAACAATTGGAATAGACTTTTATGAATGCAGTTTTCAATAATGCTGCCTTCTAATTTTTATTGTAAAGAGCAAGACAATTTTATGCCACTATCAGGCAGCATTTGGTGAAAATCTGTTAGCTGTCAAAGATTCAGTTAAGTGTGAAGTCTGATTAAATTTGAACTTCAATGACAAAGCCTTGAAGTGTTTAACATCATTTTGTTGAAACATGCTTATACAAATACATATTATCTGTACTAATGTAATTTATGCCAAAATATAAACACAGGTGCTGGGGGTGTATCTTTTTTCTAACAAATCCAACATTGGTGATTTACTTTCAAGAAAATAATATAATCTGCTAAAATAATTGTTGCTAATTTTGAAATGTAATTGCTTTGTAGTTTTGGTCATATTATTAAGAGCTATAAGCATGGCATTAGTTTTATTTGTGTGAATAATAAGTTTAAGCTTATAATAATAAGCATGGCATTAGTTTTATTTGTATGAATATTGTGTTTATTCATAAGATAATTTAGGTCAGCATTGGGGGAGATCTGTGATTTTTCTTTTCTGGAAAATCAATTAATTGCTCAAGTTTAAGGAATGCTGATTTTTACAGTCTCTTTGTTTTTCTGTATTGTGCTCCCCTCATCATATATCTTTGTAATCCTTTTGTGATTTTTTAATCGTCAAAAGGTATACACTGTCAGTAAACCTGTTTTTTATCCCCTTGTTTTATTCCACGATGAAGAGAATAAAGAAAAAGTTGGAGTGATTTAGCACTGCTCCTGCTGCTAGATTTGGGGCTACTGGATGTTTAAGATCCCTGCAGGGATGAGTCTGACGTGACCATTTATGGAGGGGCCTCTGGTGGGCAGACCAGCAGCCATGCTCTTCCCATGCACAGAGCACATCTGATTCAGGGCCCTGTTTTTAAAAAATAAAAGTTAATTCAAATTTTGTGTTCAGAAACAGTGAGTTCTTTTAAAAATTGACAACAATACCTTGGAGTTGAGAATAAAAACATTATTTAAACTGAAAAAAATCTATTGTGCTATTGCAGTTCAATTTATGTTTACTTTTGAAAATGAACTTATTTTTAAAGCTCTTATTGAAGCTTTTTCTGAACAGGGGTGAAAAATAGCTAGATTCTATATGTAGATTATAAAATGTTTCTAATAGGCATATTTATATTGACTAAAATATAGTCAGTTTTCAGTTTACTGAAAATGAGATTTTGTTTGCTGGGACTTTGTTTTTAAGTAATGTTCAGGTGGGATTAATGTTAACATAAAAGGCAGAATTAAAATCACATGTATTAAAGTACAAATTAATTTTCATTATGCTGTTATTTCTAATCTGTAGATTGTGTGTTTAGATGTGATAGCATATAAATCAGTCTTTTAAAGTTTTTTTGTAATAGTTATCACCAGGTTGTTTATAATCATACATAATCATTTTTTATGGAATCTGTTTCCATTTTCTTATCATTTTTTAAAAGTTCGATATGGCATGTTTGTATTTTTAATAGATGTTTTAGCCAGGCGTGGTGGCTCACGCCTGTAATCCTAGCTCTCTGGGAGGCTAAGGCGGGCGGATTGTTTGAGCTCAGGAGTTCGAAACCAACCTGAGCAATAGCGAGACCCCATCTCTACTATAAAAATAGAAAGAAATTAATTGGCCAACTAATATATATAGGAAAAAATAAATTAGCCGGGCATGGTGGTGCATGCCTGTAGTCCCAGCTACTCGGGAGGCTGAGGCAGGAGGATCGCTTGAGCCCAGGAGTTTGAGGTTGCTGTGAGCTAGGCTGACGCCACGGCACTCACTCTAGCCTGGGCAACAAAGCGAGACTCTGCCTCAAAAAAAAAAAAAAAAAAAAAATAGATGTTTTAACACTTATAATTTAAGACTTTTTGTGGCTCTTTTTAATACTTGTACTTCTCTAGGATAATAAGTTTTGAATACTTTTTCAGATCATTTAAAATCTGTTCCTAGTTTTAGATCATTTATGAAAACATCTATGTCTCAAAGAACTGTCCACATTTTGGGGCATAATTTATATGGATAAGCAGTTCAGACCATTTTCTCATTTTCATTTTGGTGTAGGTCCCTGTACGTGTGTGTAATTCCTGAAGAGCATGTTCTTGGGAAGGACATTAAAACGTGCTTTCTCAAACATCCTAATATGTTTAAGATGTTTTATTTTACTTTGATAATATATGTTAACAGAGGCATTGATGTGAAGATACTTGTATGACTAGAGAGGTTCTTTCTGTTTTTCAGTGACATGGAGCAGACTGCACCCATGGAGGAGTCCACAGCGATGGAGGAGTCACTGGGCACCCTGGAAGAGGAATCTTCAGCCAAGTAGGGGGTTTCATTCATTTTCCCCTTTGGTTTGTTGGTCTTTTTCTTAATGATTTCCAAGAGCTCTTCACAGAGTAGAAATTTCAGTCCCTTGTCATATCGCAGAGGGCTGATCTTCTTAATGTATTTGACTAATGATCAGACCTATAATTCAAGTAATCTAATGCTGATTATTAACTGTAGTTAATGGATTAAATTGAAGTACACTGTCCTCTGCCCAGACCCTCTTTTCCACCAGCAGCTTGCTAAACTCCTTTACTCCTCACTCTCACCTGACCTCCAGACTCTTATCCCTTTATTCTCTCTCAGTCCAGCCTCCCTCTTTTCTTCAAGTAGCATAGGTCCCTGGTCCATTTCTAACACCCTTGCCACGTTCTTAAATACCCTTGCCCCTTCAACCCTTGCCCTTTGGATTCTTGTACTTTGCTAGCAAACCACTTCCTGGATGACTCCCATCTGCTTTCTTTCTGCATGTACCCATTGCTGAGCGAGGCCAGTTGGAACCCCAGTAAATTGTTTCCTTTTTTTTTGTTTGTTTTTTACGTTCCTTTCTATTGCACTGGTGTATCCAGTAAATTCTTGATCTCCAATATTCTGAAATGGGCCCTTAGCATCCCTCAGCAGGTCCTGTTTCTTGGATTCACTGTTTTTCCCACCTCCTACAATGACTATTGAATCCTTCTTGTCTCCTCCAAACCCTGACACTGCCACCAATTTATCCCTCCTCCATCTTCCCCACACCCAAACCTCTTCTTTCATTTCCAGATACAACTTTGCCTCCTAAGCCACAGAGAAATTAGGACCATCAGGTGGGAACTTCATTTGCCCACCCCGAAAGGTGCAAACCTGCCTACACCTGCACCCAGGTGTAGACCTGCATGCCTCTTGGTCTCCTTCCCTTATGGTAAAATGGAAGCGCCATCTCTCCTCCCTCTCAGCGCTTAGATCCTCTCTCCTTCTGACTTCATAGAAACCTCACACTATCAGTTAGCTTTGCTCATTTTTGGAATATTCAGTATATTCATCTCCTCCCTCCAACTCTGGTCTTCTGATCAACATTTTAAATTTAAATCATTTATTTTAAATATCTTCTCCTCCCAACCCCACATCCTCTTTTAGCTACCTTTTTCAGAGTTGTGCGTATTTCTTCATTTCCACTCCTCTCACTTACTCCTCGCTTCACCCCAGGTCTGGTTTCTGTCCTCATTGCCCTCCTAAAACAGTCACCACGTCTCCAGATCCAATAGATCTGCGACTTGACCTCTCAGAAGCATTTGACTTCATTGATTTCTTCTTGAACGCACTCTCCCATTAGTTTCTGTGATGATTAGTCTCTTCTGGTTTTTCTTCAGCCTCTTAGCATTTTCTTTGCAGGCACATCTTTGTCTTTCTGGTCTCTTAAAATGTGAAGTTCTTCAGGGCTCTCCCTCTTTATCCAGCATCTCTTTATAGGAGCGAATGCACCTGTGTGACTTAAATTGTCATTTACACACCAACTCCAGAATATACATCTCTGGCTCCAATCGCATGGGCCCCATCTGCCTACTGGACACCTACTCTTGGACATGGCAAATGCTCCCCATGCTCGGCATGTCCAGGACTGAGCTGATTCCTTTCCCCACAAACCTCTAGACCTCGCTAGGTACCTCCATCCTGTGCAGCAGCATCACCGTTCATCCCACTGCACAAACCAGAAACTCAGGAGTCGTCCTTGGAACTTCCTTCTTCATGGTCCCTTCCTCCCTGAAATCCACCCTTCCCTCTGCTCTGGGGATTTGTGCTCCTAAAATATCCACCTTCTTCACTCACCAGTATAGTCTAAGCTGTTGTCCTCTGGAGTGTTGCTGTAGCTACCAACAGAGCTCCGTGTATTCTCACCTATGCCAAAACGGCTTTCACACTGGAATTCTGATTGTCATGTCCCCACCCCTTGCTTAAGACCCTCTAGTGGCTTCCTGTCCTTTTTCTGTCCCTTGTCCTGACCTGCATGGTCCTGCATGGTCTGGCCCCTGCAGAACCTTCAAATGTGGACACTCCTGTGCCTTGTTTCATGTTCTCCAACATACCTCTCTCCTGCCCCTGCTGTACAGCTTTCACGAGTGTTGCTTCCCTGTTTCTCTGTACTTCTTCCCCAACCCCCCTTCACCCCTCACCTATCTAACGCTGACTCATCCAAAAGGTAGGGTGTCTAGTGGTTAAGAACACAGAAGAAGAGCTAGTGTGCTGAGTTCAAATTCCAGCTCTGCCACTTACTAGTGGGGCAAGTTATTTCTCTTCTTTAGTGGCTCAGTTTTCTTCATTTGTAAAGTAGAAATACTAAGGTCCCTACATCTTAGCGTGTGTTGTAAGGATTGGGGGTATGCGTGTGACTTAGAGTGGTTCCTGGCATATATTTAATAGTTAGTGCTATGTCAGTATCTGCTATTACTACTTATTGCAAGAGCGAAAGGCCATGGTGATAATTGTGAAAGCTGTTAATTTAGTCTTCAAAACAACTGGCTGGGTGTGGTAGCTCACACCTATAATCCTAGTGCTTTGGGAGGGCAAGGGGGCAGGATTGCTTGAGCCCAGGAGTTCAAGACCAGCCCGGGCAACATAGCGAGACACCTGTCTTTACAAAAAAATAAGAAAAATTAGCCAGGAGTGGTGGTGTGCACCTGTGGTCCCAGCTACTCAGGAGGCTGAGGCAGGAGGATCACTTGAGCCTGGGAGTTTGAGGTTGCTGTGAGCTAGGCTGATGCCAATATAGTTTAGCCAGGGCAACAGAGTGAGACTCTGTCTCAAAAAAAAAAAAAAAGAATAAATCTAACATTTATAGAACATTTACTGTGTGGCAAGAATTGCTTTAAATTCTTTCATGTCTTAATGAATTCAACTCTTTACTACTGAGTATGTAAGGAAAGGATACTGTTGTCATTCTCACACTGAGACATAGAGGTTCAATAACTTCACTAAGATGCCCTAGCTATTAAGTGCAAAGCCAGAATTCAAACGAGGTACTATGCACAGACATTCTTGTTCCTAACTGTAGTGACTGGTAGGAATGGCAAAAGTGCCATTTAGACTACACTGCTTGTAAGAACCAAAAAGGAGAGATGCTGGTTCTGTAAGCCCGATGAAGAGCTGTCGCGATCACTGAGAATTTCCCTATTTAGGAGTATGATGGCAACTCCCTCCCTTCCTGAAAAATAAGAAATACTTTATTATAAGAAAATGTTGAAGAAGCAGTGATACAAAATATCTGTAATGGTTTGCTTATGTATGTATGTATGTATGAATGAATGAATGAATGAATGAATGAATGAATGAATGAATGAATGACAGGGTCTTGCTCCGTCGCGGGGGCTAGAGTGCAGTGGTGTCATCATAGCTCACTGCAACCTCAAACTCCCGAGCTTAAGTGATCCTCCTGCCTCAGCCTTCTGAGTAGCTGGGACAACAAATGTGTGTGTGTGTCATCATGCCCGGCTGATTTGCAATGAATTATGTTTTATTGTAATTTGTTTCCAAGTACATTTGCTTTAACAATGAAGATTTTCTTAAATGTTAGGTTAAGTTCACTTGCCCCAGTCAAGTATCTGGTTAGTAAAGCTTTATTTCTAGAACCCACTTTCTTTGATATGCTCTTTCATATATTCAGGTGAAAAGGCATTGCCTGATGGAACTGTGGACATTCGAATCCATGTTTTGTTTGTTCCTCTGTGCGTACCATGACATCTGCCACCGAAGCATGTTTCTCTTCTCTCCTAGTCCCTAAATCTCAAGGAGCACAGAGGTTGAGTGTGGGCTTTGGAGATGTGATGACTGAGTTTGCAACTTGGCCCTTCCGTTTAGTTGCTCGCTGTGTGACCTCTCTGTACCTCGATTTTCTTACCTGTAAGATGGGAGGTATTATATCTAACTCATGGGATCAGTTGTCATAAGATAATTAACACAGAGCATTTAGAATAGCGTCTGGGACACAGCAAGCACACAGTACATGTTAGCGGTTATCCTGTTTATTTCTAAATAAAGGGAACTGTGGTTAAAGCAGTTTGATTTATAATTTCACCTGTTTAGAAACAAATATATAACTGCCAAATTTACATGCAGCATTATTCAATATTACCATAGACTTGACAACCTTATTTCCATAAGCAGTTTTGATAGAAAATTCTTTGCCAAGGTTTTTGATAATAAATAAACCAAGGGTGGTGAAGGTCTTTGAATTACTCAACAAGGGGGCTATTAAACTTAAAGTGATAACAGTTATCATGCTGTTATAGCTGTTAGAAATATACTTGCATGAGTCCTTCCTGGAATCAAAGGATGTATCTCTTCCTGCCAAATACTCAGTCTTTCCTAAAACTGCCAGCAAAACTTCATCCAGTGCCAATTCAAGTGGGAAATGGAATGTGTATCGCAGGATTGTCATAACTCATGTTTTTGGTAGTAACGTTTGGTCAGTAGGGAATAAGGTTAAGGAGCCTTCCTTGGTGATTTTGTACTGCTCTCAACAGCTAATAAAGAAGGCGGCATAAGGGGCATCTGTGCCTATATTCTTGCATGAGGTGCATTCCAGTAAACAGTATCAGGCTGATACTGTTCAAGGAGCATTATCACTTGTAACTAATCTGAATTTTTTGATGTCTATATATCATTTCAAGGTTGCATTTCTTATATACCTTGTACTTTTTTGATCTGGTTCTTTGTTTAGATATAATGTCTTTAAAACACGCAAGTAAACAAAAAAACCTGTCAATGACAAGCACCTCTTTTGTGGTCTTAACATAAAATCTGTTCCTTTTTGGAATTTATTAACTTTTATGAGATTGTGTTAGTTACGAATGAATCATCAAATCCATAACTTGCAGTTCTGTTGATTTCTTAATTCTCTCACAAGAGGCTAAGGAATCTTTATGAATCCTTAATATTTCTTTAATTTTAGCTCTGGGTTAAAAAATTATATTGCGGAAAAACATATAAAATAAGAACAGTGTAAGGAACCTCCAGCTTAAACT